AACCGATTCTTACAAAACTTTCCGCACATATTTTAGGTTTCCAAGAAAATATTATATTATCATATTTTATGTTTAACCCCACAGTATCAACCCCTGAGCGAGGGTGAGAGCTGCCCTTAAAAATTTTAAATTAAAAGGAGATCAAGTGATACCTCGTTTTAAAGGTCTTTTTATCATTTAATGTTTCAGTCGTAGAGTAGAGGTAGTTCTAGTCAAGTGAAAAACTAAAAACCAAAAAATAGAAAGTATAGGTAAAAATATTTCTGAGATATCCTGACCTCTGGAACATTTAACAATTAAAAATAAAAACGTGGGGGGCAAGTTCGCTAAAAAAATATTTTAACCTACATCCCACATTTTAAATTAATTGTTAATTTTTAAAGAGGTTAGAATCTTTAGAAAGTCTCATAATGTGTCCTAATAATTATTTTCTCGTTTTTAGTGCACCAGATTTTATTTAAAGTAGTAGTTTAACTTAAAAATATTATTTATGTATATTACATACAAATATTGATAAAATTATTAATTTCATCTCTAAGTGTTTAATAAAACCTGAAGTTAAAACTGTATGAAAATTTAATATGTCGCAGCACCAAAATAAATATTTCATATTTCTTACATTGGGTCGGGTGAATAAAAACAATTAACTTGGCTTTTATCCGTCAATCCGAAATTTAATACTTGTTAATCCTTAACAAACTAAATGTGGCCACTAAGTATTTGCTTAAAACTTGATAAGTAAAGGGAATTACTTATTTTTATTCACCCTGCGCATTATTCTTTTTTAAATTTTTTTTTGATATTTTTTTTTTCTGGATTTTAAAAAATTCTTTTTTGCCAAACCTTCGGTTTGGCGCCCCTTTGAAGTGGCGCCCGCGTGCGTTGCACGCGTTGCACAACCGGTTACGGGGGGCCTGGTCCCCATTCAGTACTGAATATAAAAATATTTTTCAACAAAGTAAAATTTTAATCTAGACAATATAAATTATTGTACGCGGGAGCCAATGGCTCCATCTGTCGTGCAAACTCCCAACTGTGCCATTCAAATGACTACAGTAGGAAGCGACTTGCTAACTGCAGGTACTTTGTTGCACGACTGCCACCCACAGAGAGCGTAACACAATGTGTGAGTCGTCAGTGCCGCGAGAAACAACTACTCCGAGAGCTATTTGCCCCTACCGGCATTGAATTATACTTGCGACACCTAGTACAACAGCTAGGATCGTTTGTCAGTTTAACCCACCAGGCACAGACCGGTTTCGGACTTATTAGTCCTCATCANTTAATTCAAAAGTCATAAAAAAACTTCTTCTGTTTATACCCACCAGGCACAGACCGGTTTCGGACTTATTAGTCCTCATCAGTGTGTCATAGGTGCGACAACCGACAAACGACCCAGCTGTTCTTCGTCGTATCATCACGAAGAGGAAGTGACACACTGTTGAGGACTAATAAGTCCGAAACCGGTCTGTGCCTGGTGGGTTAAACTGACAAACGATCCTAGCTGTTGTCCTACTACTAGGTGTCGCGAGTATAATTCAATGCCGGTAGGGGCAAATAGCTCTCGGAGTAGTTGTTTCTCGCGGCACTGACGACTCACAATATAAATTATTTACATTTTTTTCTCATGAGAAGAAATAAAAGTGGCGGTGAGTTGAATGCAAGGTCACATTAATATTTGGTCACACGAAATGACAGATTAAAACAAATACTTCTTATATTACATGTGAACAATATTAATTAGTTTGGATCGATTTTACCGTACTTAAGCCGCGTAGCCACTTTTCTTATGAATAATTTGTTAACAATTCATATGACTGCGCATACGAACAGATTTTCGTATGAATTCGCATCCAATGTAACCACTACCTTAGGGTGGGCGCACCACTCAAGACCACTCTATCTATATATAACAATTTGTTAAGTATCCTTGTTAGTATTGCGATTAGCCAATAATGTTTACGTTAAGATTGCGATCAGATCGTGTAACATTAACGTCTTTATATTTGTATATGTCGAGTTCGTCAAAGCTTCCATTGGCTGTTGAAAGGTTGACCATACGGGTATATTGCTTGCTTACTATTTATTCGTGATACCTCGTAAGTGGATCGCGAGCAGTTACAGGTATATGTCTACAAAATCAAATTTGTACGTTTAGTGTTGTTTGCCAGGTAGTTCAATCAGTGTTCTGCGTTTATCAGTAAATGCATACTTCTTAACTAAAATAACAGATCTAATTCTCGCCTGTGTTGCGTTATATTATATTCAAGACGTTATCTAAACGGCGGCGAAGTCATCCATGAAACTGACGAAGAAGATTTCTTCAAAGCGGACTAGACGATACAATTGGATTTAGAAACTTTACCGTATGTCAACTGAAACGAAGTTATTTTCAGAGAGGGTTCTAAGACATCTTTGTTTTTTTCTTTTATTTAAAAAATGTACATATAATGCTGCATCACCTTTTGCATCTTTCAAACCGTCTGAATTAACCCAACTCGGTTGCAGCGCGAAATTGCCGGCGCGTTTGCCTGCCTAGTAATTTAGAAAATCAAATCAGTATTCAGTTACCAGCCAGAGTGAACCGTTGAGTCCGTCACCAGCCCCAGCAGTAGAAACGTCACTGTTGGAAATAAGTAAGTCCAACTTGTAAAGACTGAACAATACCCGCTTGATACTTTGTCATTTTTGGAATTTTCAACTCTTAACTTTTATTCTTAATGCAACATCACCTAAACATTTTCCGAGGCAATTCTAAAATTGATATCAAAAAATGAGGAACAAACTGAAACAAACTAATTAACTTATTTTAATTTCACAACATACACGAAGTTACATGGCAATATAGTTTCAGTTTCTAGCCCACATTAGTATTTTCATTTTTACGGGAATCTTGTTGAAGTGACAGTTCTGCGTCATTACATTCGTTCTGTTGATATTGACGATCCTGATTATTGTTGTTTTGCTGTCTACTTCCGCTACTTCGTTTCATTCGTCGCCGTCTCCTCGTTCGTCTTCGCCTTCTTCTGGACCGTCTCTTAGGAGCCTGCCTTGCCAAATGGCAGTAAGGAGATTTTTGGCGATCGTTCATTTTCCTCCATATCTCCGCACCCCTTTTCGTCAGTTCCGTTAGTTTTACACCACCGTTGGATTTTCTGAAATCTCGCATGAAATTTAAAAATGGGTTTCTGGTTATCCTACCAGATTTAAAGGTGTGCGTACACTTTTTCACACTACGACTTCTAGATCGTCTTGATTTGCTCATAATGCCATGTGAATTAACTGAAATTAAATAAAAGATTCAAGTGTTATAGCGTCATTGTGACAAAGTTTCAGGTCAGGACTGACCACTCTTGTCAAAATAAGTTTTTTTTAACTAAAGCTAAAAAGTGGCATTGGAATTAATATGAGCGGTTTCAACTGTCAAAAAAAATATCTTTTACATAGTTGGATAACCCATCACCAATGAAAGTTTCTGTGATCCTTTTTTTTTGTT